ACTCACTCATGCTCTCAAGGTATTTTCAAATAGTTCTTTTTGCTGAGTGCTCATTTTGTTGCTTCCGCATGCAACTTCTAGGTCTGTTTGCTTTGCACCTATAGTTGTTGTGTTGTTTGCAGGTTATCTTGCTGTAATAATATGGTGTCTACTCGCAGAACAAAAAAATGAGGTTCATGGTGTTCAATATTGTTTGGTGCGCCTGCCTTATAAGATTATTTCTACAAAAAAACTACAACAGTGCAACACTTAAGTAAGCAGAACTCGTGTTTCATACCCAATTTGAATAAAGGAACGTCATGTTCTCCACATTTTTTCGATTAGTATCTTAGATATGTTTACGAGTATCATAGGCAATTATACATGAGTTTTTGTCATACAATGGAAGATGGATTTATAATAGAATTGAATGTGCATTTAGTCATTTAGCATTTAGATCAGAATTATCGTTTTGTTAGTAAAGTTGCATGTAATTAGTACTGTTTAGTTCCATATATCTCCTTTGTCATGTCCTGTTTTAGAAGCTTATGTGGATTTTCTACAGTTCAACTTACAGTGTCTAATATAGTGGCTATATGATGGAAAGAAGCAACACAAGGAAAGGATCGGGGCTCTGGCAGTTGTTGCAATGGTAATCACTCCATTTTAACATTTGTGTGTTATTGTTGGTCTTCGTTGGGAGGAATGTGAGCAACGATTTGATGCTGATATAAAAAACTATGAATTGAATCATATGTAATTCTTTTTTTCCTGTGCTGCAAAATATAGCTCAAAAACTTTCTCCTTTTTTGCCTTCAAAGGATGAAGCACATCTCAGATTAGTGAGTTGCTTTGTACAATTCATATTTCTTGAAGTATATACAATTTACAACTGGATCTCTTTGATTTGTCATCAGTTCTCTAAGAATGTAATTAAAATAATACGTCAGGGTTATATCGTTTTGGTGGCCAGGCATGACGAGCCAAAGCCGCTTGATGAATTGTTGGCGTGCCATTTATGCAGGTTCTTTATTTGATGCTACTGTAGTAATTAAAACAATGATGGTTCTGATGCATATGTTGCTTCTTTGCTTCAAACTATGACATGTGTTTTTAGTTTCAACGGTTTTGCATTATGAAAGTCAATCACAAGATTTTCTAGCTTTAAACTTTTACTCTGTTTCTTTGTGTCTGCTCTTCTGCCCCCATCGGGGTCGCCACTCACGCGCTGACTATTGTATTGGCAGGTTCAGAGGGTCACTTGCATTGGCAGTCGATTGTGTGTATGTGCATGTTGCCATATGGTCCAGCATTTTGTATTTCTCATGGAAGGATATGCTTGTGGTCCGGAAGTATTTGGTTCACGGGGTTCGGCCATCAAATCAAAGGTCCATGCGGTGAACAATCTCTTTGTGAGAGGACCTTAATGGGGTACTTACACCATCGTTCAACAGATTGTTCTTCAGATGTAAGCTGAACTACAGATTGTTCTTTGGATGTTTAACTGAACTCCTGCAATCGACGCAGAGGAACATGATTTTTTTCATGAGCTTTCACATCAATTGATCAGTGAATAAAATATATATTACCCCTTTTTCATGAGCTTTCAGATCAATTGATCAGTGGATGGGGTGAAGGTGTCAAACAATCAAGTGAAAGATAGCCGGCAAGTAGCTGCTCAAGCATATCTTAGCATGTCTGAACATTCCATCCTTTATGTATGTTGTTCTCTCATTCTGGTTTGATAAGTGAACTGTCTACTGAATCTGACTTCTCGCAAGCCATTTATGTCGTGCATATCCTTCGGTTTTCTCGATACCTGTTTGACACCACCGCTTATTTTGTAAAATATGCATGCCATTATTAAAAGATGAATTTGCATCATAAAACTCTTCATAAATTATTGCTAATTGTAGGAGAAATGTTCTGCTTGATATTATTCTCCAAAAGGTTAATTTGCTATGTATATAAATTTTTAGGTTGTCATTCTGCTAATTTTGCTTCTTCTATTTTAGGACAATTGTACTCATTATGCTGTCTATAAAGAGAGGTTTTTTCGCGCTATGAAACAATGTTTATAAAATGCTATTCTTACCAGGCCCACAAAACTTTAACTGGGCTCTGCCCATTTACGGGAGAAGTGCAACATGCAAGGATACAAAGCGACGAGTCCTTTGATGGTGCTCGGTTTTCTTCTTTCCATGGTGCCACGCCTCAATTCACTGCTCCCAGCCATAGCGAGCTCGAATCGATTGAGGAATGAGTCATGCGGACGTTCCTTGGGATCAATCTTTGGCCGTGTTCGGTAGGTTATTAGCTCCCATCCATTCCTTTCTCTAACGCTCTCTTCCAAGATCTGTTATGCTTTTACGAACATCTCATTAGAAGTAGGCACAATACATGGGCGTTCAGAGCACTCGCGACTTCCATTCGGTTCAGTGTGGAGGTTTTATTTGTCCTTGCAGCATGTACTGTCCAATCTCCTCTCGCCTCCCCTACCTTCCTGGCTACTCACTTTCCCTTCCGCTTTCTCTTATTCAGAATGCCTTTGCTTCCACAATGTTGTTGTCACTGCATAAGAAAATGAATACACGTGCGTATGTTTTTGTTCATGTTCGGAAATACAGGTGTGGTTATAGCTGCTATACTGATTACCATCTATTCCTGAAAAAATAGATAATGAAAATCAGCTTATTGCTTTATCTCAGTCTCATAGAGAAGCTTATTGTAGTATACATGTGTACTTTTGATTATGACATGATATTAGTTGAGTCTGACCTTGTATGCCATGTAGAATTTGTTATAAGCTAGGACAATCTACAAATTTTATAATGAAGTGGGAACTTATACGAAACTACACTGCGCACGACAATTTGGAAGACGATCTGCGGACAACCCTGTAATTGATGGCTATAGCCCACGTGAACGGAGGTGATCGATGGCTGTTGTATCTTGTCGTCCAGAGATCGGGCACAGCCCATCGTCTGTGTAGCAGTTGTCGAACTTATAATACGTCCACCTCCGCTCATGCCAAGGCGGGATCTTGCAGGTTGGTCGGGGTGGCGCTCTCACGTGATGGCATCCCGAGTGGATCGAGGCGTCTACGGGAGGGCCATTCTTTCATTGGACGGATCGGTGTCCATGGCCATGGGCATGGTGTTGTTTGGGCTTGCTTGGGCCAAGGCCAGTGGCATTGATCGAGGCTTTCTCAACAGTAGCCGACGACAGTCACTAGGCCGTGTCCACCGGACCCCCTTGTACTAGATGTGGGCATCACAGCTTCATAGCCCGACGACCGTGAATGGGTAGCTGATGTTGGGGTAGGAGTTTTTTCTTTACGGGAAGGCCTTATGGCTAGCTTTATTAAACTCAAATCAAAATTACATTCTTTGCGAGAGGTCTTAGAATAAATTCAGTTGGAGCCTCTAATCATTGAGCAGGGTTATTAGCACTACCACATCTAGCTTGCTCATGTGCTACCACATTTGATTCCCTATTACAATGTTCAATCACAGCCTTCCTGAAATCTCTCAACATATCTCGAGTTCGAAGGCAAATAAAAAAAATCAGCTTACGACCCTAGACAGGTCTAAGGTTTAAGGTAGTATCTTAAAGGAATGCCTCTGGCTCTTCCTTCCATGGTTGGTGTGCTATAAAACTAATGGGAGAGAAGGTAGTTGTATTATTTACTAAAGACGAAGCGATTGGGTATGAAAAACTTAAGGTGGTTTTATTTAACTATCTATCTATCTACTAAGATACTAAGCTCCCTAGGCTTCAAGACTCTTGTGTCGGGGGTTGTGGGAGGCGCTATAGGCCCTGCCTATAAGGGTTTGTATCGCAGGGCTAAACAGATTTTTGGGTTTTGAAAAGGTATTGCTTATGTTTTTATTTTTGCGTTTTCCATTGGTTTTAATAGTTTCTCTTTTGATCTTTTGTTGCTTTTTTCCTTTTTCCTGTAATTTTATTATCATTATTATTTTCACATTTAATTCATGAATATTTAAGAAAACTATGAACATCCATTGCAAATCCATGAACATTTTTAAAGTGAAACCTTTTTAAATACACAAACATTATTTGAAATCTATGAATAATTTTCAGATACGCAGACTTTTTGAAAAGTTCCTACTCCCTCCAATCCATAATATGTGTTGCAGTTTTGAACTAAGGTTGAACCAACCTTAGTTCAAAACTACGAGGATTATTTTGGAACTGAGGGAGTATTTCTTTTTATTTGCAACATTTTAAAAAATCTATGATTTCTTAAAATACATGATTTTATTTATTTAATGAACTGCTTCAAATAGAAAAATATGGTATTCAGCTTTTGCCGACGTAGCGGTGGAGCTAGCGGAAAATTAATTGAGCAAGGAGCCAAGCTGAGCTAAAGAGCTTCATGGGTCGGCTCATGTGAGCATTATAGTAGCAGCAAGTCCACTGTTTCAACGTGATAAAAGAGCTTCCAAGAGACTCACACAGCGGCCATCAGCTGGCCGAAACCACACACCTGATAACTCCACTCCTCTTAGAACAAATATCATCTGCAAAAGCAGCCCAAAAGACATACAAATGGAAAAAGGAAACCATAAGGACATAATTAGACAAACCCAAAATTAAACAACCGACCACAATAACCAACTGAAGGAAAAAGAGTTAATCCTGCAAGTGAAAAACATCGCAGCAGTGTGCGAGTTAGCCTCTAGTGTATATTATGGGCCTGAGATCCCTCCACTGCAATATGTAGCATCCATGTTCGATCCGACAGCCCAGAATCATGTTCGGCCAGTGTAGTTTCTCACGCAAAAGCTTTGCATGTCTTTGTACAAAGGAGAAGGAACAAACTCCCATAAAAAAAATGAAGAAACGAACGTATTACAACTGAATCAATCATTCGTCGGAAATTACACCAAGGCTACTACAATTGCAAACCAAACTAAGCCGTAACAAACAGGCTGCAAGAATGTGTGGCCCCGGCCATATACCACATCAAATCATAATGCTTATAACAACCCCTTCAGTCAGCATTGTTTTGAAAGTATGAAGACCCGATGATGCCCAATCCGGGTTTCATGGATGCGACCAAGATGACGAAGGACCTGGTTAACAGTGGATGATGAATTAACAGAAGAAAATGTATTCAGCTACAGACAGAAAAGAACATAGCATAATTGGCAGGTTTTTGTGTCAAACAGATATGTTTGTAGTTGATGTAACATATCCATCTTTTCAAACTATTTTTAACATATTCATGCGCATGAAGTTTGTATGAAGCCAGAAAGAAAAAGTGCATGCAACTTAAATACTCCCTCCGTTCCGATTTACTCGTCGTGGTTTTAGTTCAAATTTGAACTAAAACCACGACGAGTAAATCGGAACGGAGGGAGTAGATGTTTATTTCAGAGTAGAATTTTCTTATCATCATGATCAATGACTACTGGAATTAGTCAATGTACTTGCTGGTTATTTTTCAGGTACTTATTTGAACTATGGAAACAATAATCAGAAGAACAATTGCAGTAGCAAAACAATTCATGATTTTGATCATCTTCTGTGATCATAAAGAATAAACATAATCTATAAGGTTTCAACCCAAGTGGTTAAAGCTGCAAATACTCACGGTAAGGATAGCTTTGCCTGTGTGATCAAGTTTTAGCCCAGGCCCCTTTATATCAGCTTCCAGGAAGAAATGCTTCCCCTTCACTGCCTCAGTGGCAGCTATGTCCCTTAGTTCCTAAGTAGAAATTACGATATGATTTTCTACATGAGAAAATCAGATTAACAGCAATGCTGAGAACTTACCAAAGCTTTTTCCCATGTGTCTTCTGATAACTGCAAGAAAATTTAGAGTGGTTGAGAACGAGAAATAATTATTTATCAGCGACAAGTTGGGGTACAAAAGGGAAACCTTTTTCTTAGGACATGCAACAAGATGAGCATTAGCATCTGCATATGTAGCCACCTCGTTTATCGAAATGTTAACCTTCTCCAATGTTAGCCTCCCCCTCATGTACCTGTAGTAACAAAATGGGATATCCTATTAAAGAAAGCTAGTATTACATTTTAATCACTGTCATCTGAGATGAGGGAAAGAGAATTTGCATGTTCACTAAAGAATATTATATGTTTCCATTGGCATCTGCACTGTAGCTATTATATTTTAGCAAATTAGCCTGAAACCCTCTTTTGAGTTTTAACATGGGTCAATTTAATACTCAGACATGTCGTGACCTTGGTAACTGGATGACAATAATAAACCAAATTCCTTCCTCGGTACATGTGAGGCCTACAGGCAGCAGAAAGATTATGCTATGCAAACAAAGCAGATTTGACAGAGCAGATTCATCAACACTATCCCATGTCTTGGCTCTGCATGATTCACACAACATTCAGCTAGCAACTCTTAGTATTTGTACAGAAAGGAAAAGGAGGAGCATGCACACATCAGTATGCAGCGTGGTGCTGAAAGAAGTAGCACTTGCATGTATATATCAGAAGCTCTCTTGCAGACAGATTGTATGAAAGAGCCTCTTAACCAGAAGCAGATAATCAAAAGTGGATGCTGCGGTTATGCAGTGATAATGAATTGAAGCTACAAGTGCAACTGAGGACTCACGATGACAATGAATCAAGCTCCTCAGTGGATATATACCAACGAGGTGCTGAACCTTTCCCCTTCTTCACAGCAACAAAAGAAGCATTAGTTCAAAGAAAAAAACTCCTGCTGAAACAATTGTAGCTAAGATCAGTGAATGGTGTAACACATAAATAAGTATTTACTTTGGGAGCTGCAACTGGCTCTTCCTTAATCTTAAAATCAGAGTCCAGAAATTCTGGAACAGCTGTGTTAAAATTAAAGCACTCGGGCAACATCCTGTAACATAAATAGCATGATTCTTGTCACCAAATGAAGGTAAAGACAACAGATATAGGTAATAGCATCAAGTAATCTTACAAGCTTTGTTCCAGAGGAGTAGCAACGATATCCTCACGCATCCCAGGTGGCATGTTTGCAAGCATATGCTGCAACTTCTGCTGTTGCTTCAAGGACTTCTCCACTAGTTTCTGCATCAGAATTTGAGGAAGCCACAATGAGAAGTACCAATGTCTTTCAACAACACATTGAATAAAATTAGGTTGAGGGAAGCTCGGGGCAAGCAAAAAATAGCCCTCAATAAATAAAATATCAGCCATAACCTTGTAACACCTGCCTATGTACTAGGCTCAGTGGTCATGGGTCGTCATCCAGCCCATCACCTGTCTGATGCCCAGCCAGAACCACACCCACTCTTACCGGTGGTCAAGTGTGCAAGTGTTCGATGGGACGTTTGATGTGTTAGGCAACAAGGGAGGCAATGCAGTTGCTAACTGCCAGGTACTCAGGGAAGTTTCTCTAAAGAATGCTGTGTGGGATTAGGAAACTCCACGAGATTTTGGGACACATCATACCTATCAACAGCAATCCATGTCATGTGAGATGAGCATGGGCGGTACAAGAGTGGAGCCACTCGCCAAGAATTCTGACAGTGTGACGTATGATGTGAGTTGAGCGCGGGTGGTTTGAAGGTGGAGCCACGATGGCCTGCCACAATAACGGTGATCCCAAGAGAATGTCAGATATAGCAGTTGTTCAGGGAAATACTGTCTTGGGGACTTTAGTCTGGTGTCATGTGTTTGTTTTGATAACTGGAAAGAATTACGAATCGAGGAGTAGACGAGTCAAGCTGAGGTTGAGACTCATAGACTAATCATGACTAGTCTAGACTACTGCTGGACTAGTCGACATGGTACTGTAGTAGTCAACTTACAGTATTCAACTACTAATACCTATTATGTACTCCCAAGAGAATGGTACAATATAATACCATATATTACAGTACAATATACAATAAAATTGAGTTGATCCAGAGGAGGATCACATCAGCATAGAAGAACAGCAAGGGGAGGAGCACAACAGCAGAGGGGTGGATCCAGCGGAGGAGCAGAACCAGCGGAGGGACAGCGTCGTAATGCTCCTGGACACCGCTGGCAGCGGTGGTGAGTGGCAGCGGGTCAATGGGCGGTGGCGGCAGCCTAGTCCCAGGTGAGGCGGCTCACCGTGGAGCGATCCTGGAAAGCTAGGGTTGCTTTTTTCCCTCCCGCGGGCTGAGCACTGCTCACTTATCCCTCCCAAATTGAGTTGATCGACTCAAAACACCCAGACTAGTCTGGACTAGTCGCTCCACCGCTCGACTCAACGAGCTAGTCTACACGAAGAAGCTAGTCGACAATCAGATTAAGACAACTAGACTAGTCGCACGACTAGTCAAGACTAGTCAAGCAGAAATGTTTGGCTGATAATCCTGATCCTGACATGTTTCTTGGCAGTTCTCTGCTTTTGTGACATCAACAATGCAGGAAAATTATGGTTGCTTACGGACTGTTCTTACAAGGTTTAACACATGTTTAGTGGGGTTGTTGGCTTCATGGAAGTGCAACTTGAGTTGGACCAAAGCTTGAGTCTGCACCTTGTTTACCCTCGTTCTGGGAGATGATGCAATCATCATGATTTTGTACGCAAGCAAATTATGTCTACTAGATATTCTGTTAGCACCCAGCACGTGTTTCCACAAATATGGCAAATGAACTGGCAGAAGAACAGGGAGGTGCATGTGGAATTCTAAGCAGTGGACCTAAATACTTGAGTGAAATGAAAGGGAGGATGTTCTGGCCTCGCTTAGTAATTCGAAATTTCCACTATTTAGTCAGATGACCAGTTTTCTTTCGATAAAGATACAAGTGTGAAAGATATTCAGACTGGCCATGGGCACTGCTGGCATGATGAAGAGGTTACATCTTGGGAAAACGTGGCAACTCTCTGAAGCATATGTAGGCATTGTAGCTGCTGAGTCCAAACTGGACAGCCAACACGATTTTGTTGTCGACCACCAGTCTGCAGTTTAGTTTTACTTATTTGATGCTAGTGAACCGGCGTAAGTTTTTGTGCGTTTTAGTTGGCAATATCAGAGCGTGCATGGGAATGTCATGACCTTAGAAAGTAAGAATAGGAATCAAAGGATTCTATGCAATGGGTACAAGGTTATCGACTGATGGTGTTTCAGGTGCTAAAGCGAATAGACAGATGCAAGGATGCATGTCCATTGATCTGCTTAGAAATGAAAAATCAGCACAGGCCATAGGATTCTGTCTTCTGGTAGATTATTTCTGAAACACCATTTCAGATGCCATGGGATCCTGGCATACAGTCAATTGTTTCTGGAAGAGTGACAACGCTTATTGCAGCTGGAGGAAGTGAAGTGGCAGAGTTTCAAGGCTGAGAAGTTCTATACATTTGCTGCTACAGGACAGTGCTAGGGGAACAAGCCACTGCACGGGGGCAAGCAATGTTTTGGTGGGGAGCACTAATGTAACACCCATCCTCCATATGTATCCCGCATATGTATTGGGCTCAGTGGTCATGGAGTGTGGCTTGGAATTCAGACGGACATGGGCCGATGCCTCTGCTGGAAGCTGCAGAAGCAGCAGCAGCTGAGGGAAAAGCCATCGGATAAATGGGATGAAATTTCCTGTCTATGTTCTTGTTCCTCCTGTATCTCTTCTACTATCTCACTGATTTCTCCTCCTCACATGAACTCAGATTGGATTTTGATCAGACGTCCTGGTAATATGTTCTCCAATTTCACAAGATATATATAACTGGTACTATCTATAAAACCCAATTCATGCCCTATGATTTAAATCAATAAAACATCACAAGAACAGCCAATTGACCAAGATTAGCCCGTTCTGGTAGGCAAACATCACCATCGATCCACATTTTTGCGCCTCTCATCCCCACTGTGAGGGTATGAACAAGAGATAGGTACACAACCACTTTAACAAGTACTCCCTCCGCCCCAAAATAAGTGTCTCAACTTTGTACTAGCTCTAGTACAAATTTGTACTAAGCTCAAGACACTTATTTTGGGACGGAGGGAGTACTACTGAAGTCATGTGATCCTAAATCTTCCAAAGAAAATGGCAAAATCACCATATTAGTCTCCCTTTACATGATTGCTATTTACTACACCGGCTTCTCAGAGAAACAGAGAAATTGGCATTCGGAAACAGATCGCAACCCAATAGATCACGAGAACTGGCAACGATACCTTGGCCTTCGGGATGGCGTCGAGCTCCTCCTGCAGGCGGCGGCGGATGGCCTGCACCTGTGCCTCCATGGCCGTCACCGACGTGTCCACGGCGGTGAGGTCGGTCACCGCCGTTGCCGGGTACACTGCGTACGGGGAAGATGACGGGTCAGGGCCCACGGCACTAGGGGGTCCAGACCAGGGTTCTGGGAGCGGGTTGGGCTAGGAGAGAAAGCTCACTATTGCGGGCAAGGGCGAGGTCCTGGAGCTCGTTGACGCGGGACCGGAAGACGGTGGCCACGGCTTCCAGCGACGAGCTATCGGGGCTCGCAGCGGCAGCGGCAGCGGCTTCCATGAGGAATGGAGGCCTCGGCCGCGCGCCGCGGGGGCGGGGGTAGGTTGGGCGGAAGGGAAGGAGGGTTCGATGATTTCCCACGTTTTACTTTTTTTCTTGAGATAGGTAAAGCACCCCTTAATCTACAAGAGTTCTGGGCATAGCCATCTACTCCCTCCGTTCCTAAATATTTGTCTTTTTAGAGATTTCGAATGAACTATCACATACGGATGTATATAAACATATTTTAAAATGTAGATTCACTCATTTTGCTTCATATGTAGTCATTTGTTCAAATCTTTAGAAAGACAAATATTTAGGAACGGAAGGAGTAGTAGCCAAACAAACATGCCAACATTATTCTTAAGTGATGATCCAGCAAACATGTGAGCTTCGAAGTTTGAACTGTGTTTCTCGTGACAAAGAATAATGCCATTCAACTATGCACCTCTGGCCTTAATCTCATGTGTGATGTGATAATATACTGGTTTGGAGTCCCTATTCAGAGTATTGATCATCCTAAGGCAATTAGAAGCCACCTTAACTCTTCGAGTAAGAAAGTCTTCCGCCAACGAGAGAGCCTCCCTTATCGCAAGAACTTCAACGGTTTTTGCATCTGAAATTCCCGTGAAGACAATAGAAGAAGCTCCCAAGAATTCACATTCACAGCTTCGTGCTGCTGCAACGGCTGCCTTGTCATCATGTCTTCCCAAGGCTCTGTCCACGTTTATCTTCGTCCAGCCGGTCGGAGAGGGGATCCATTGCTGGACATTGGTCTCCATTTGTCTTGCTTGTACCTTATTATTCATCTTGCTCTGTACCCAGTGGCGGACCCACCATTGGGGCGAGCTGGGGCAGCCGCCCCGGGTCGCCGGCAACGAAGTATCGAACCCCACGTATGTATCTTTCCTTCGGCAGGCATCAGAACACAAAACGCCAGCGGCGACGGCGGCGCTGTTTATCTGTTTCTGTGTGACTGCATCGAAGGGTTAAGGGAGAAAGAGATTTGGGTTGGTCCGCTGGTGGACTGGGCTACGTTTTATAGTTACTACAGCCCGCTAGTGCCCAATCGATCTGTACTGCAGTAGATGAACGACAGAGAAGGAAATTCCCAATTCCGATAAGAAATCACTTCCGGGCATTCCCCTCGACCTAGCCAGACCCAACAGTTCCCCAATCAATTTTGTAGATCTCGTTTGGAAATTAAAATGGGATCATATTGTGGCATAAGTGAGGATTTCAAGCAACAAGAGTCCATGTTAGCAGTTTACTAGTTTTTTAAAATCTTTTTATTCTTTTGTTGTTGAATGCTACTTCCTCCATTCATAAATATAAGTCTTTTTTAGAGATTTCAATACGAAATACATACGGACATATATGGATATATTTCCAAATGTGGATTCACTTATTTTGCTTCATATGTAGTCCGCATAGGAATCTCTAAAAACACTTATATTTAGGAACGAAGTGAGTATGAGTTTAGGTTGAATAGAGTTGTATTTGTGCCGAAAAAATTAGACGTTAAATGTTCGCCCCAGCTAACTTTAATTTCTGGGTCCGCCATTGTCGGTACCACACATAGTTCTTCCACGGAACTCTTGATGAAACAATGAGTAGATGATGGACTTTGGAATAGATTTTCATGAATTACCTTCCGCCTTGCGTGCCAGATATCCCATAGAGAGACAAAGGCCTCTATCATTTCACGAGAGGATAATTTTTCAATGAGCTCAAAAAGCCAGTCTCTCACATTCGCTTGTTGTGTCATGGAGACCTGTTCTGCAACCTCCTCTGATGCCAAAGCCCAAACGCATTTAGCCATCATACACTCGATCAATAAATGCTTCCATAAGTCATCTTCTCCACATGTTGCGCATCTATCTTCCACTGCCATATTTCTGTATTTAAGAACATCACTCGTCGGGAGAGAGTGCTTTGCTAGCCTCCATAGAAATATTTTTATTTTTGATGGAACTTGGATTCGCCAAAGGGAAGTCCACTATTTTTCTACCTTTTTTGTATCAGACGAAGCAGCTGACCCCCGAGCCAAGCTTCCCTAGTTGTCTTGGTATGCACAAGCATCTTGTATGTTGATCGAATTGTAAAAATCCCTTTGTGATCGTAGTGCCAAGTCCACTTTCCCATGTTTTACTTGGTGACCAGTAGAATGCATGTGCATTGCCATGGGATTTTTAAAAGATTTAACTAATAGCATATGTTTTTAGATGCCCTAGTTGTATATGTGATATAATACATGTTAAATTTTATATGTATAGAAAAGATGGACAGTAATAGACAAAAAATAATTTAAATCCACTTTAATTGCAGTGTATTTTGATAAAGAAAATTGCAATTCGACGATGTATACATAGGAAGACTTATTAGATCCGATGCACACAAAAAAGTGGTAAAAAACATAGAATTCTTTATTGTGCACTACATTACAAATGATAGATATCACTTGGATGCCTTTTTATGCTTAACACCAATCATCTCACGAAGCATGTCCATTATTATTATTGATTAATTAAAAACAACACATGGAGGATTTTGTTCCCTTTAAACAAATGTTCAAAGATATTACAACCAAAAGTTGAGTGCATTATGCAATTGCCTGGAAAACTATTTCTTGTCAAATTAGGCACTTGGAACCATACATGTTACCATTTAGGACCTACTACAACAAAGGGCTTGCCTCCTACCATTTAGGAACCATGGCAACACAACATATTTCACAAATATTTGTACAGAACTCATATATTTTTCTTGGCTCAAAAGGATTGAGGTCCCTCTAGAAACACTCAACTTACATGAAAGAGTCATCTGCTATGATCACTAGTGATCATAAATGACACTTATAATTACTTGATGTTTTCATATACAATATCTAAATAGTAAAGTATTTATAATGCGCCACTACTACAGGTTGCTGCTAACGCGACACTACAATCAAAGACCCTTCGACGAAATTGTATGCGATGCAATAATCGCAAATGGTGGTGTAAAAAACCATCAAAAAGGTGCAAACCGTTTGCGATGACGGATGCATCAAACACGGTTCAAATTTTAATTGCGTGTGCGAAGCAGGGCATACGGTTGATCCAGAAGAACTGTTTGCGATTAGACAGAACAACAGAAATGGGCAACCATATCAATGTGTGTGCAATATACGGCATACAGTTTGCTCCAATGAACTGTTTGCTATTAGGGAAAGCAACAGAAACGGTCAGCCAGATCAAGGTGTGTGTGATATACGACATACGGTTCAGTCGAATAAAATGCTTTCGATTAGGGAAGAGAACATAAACGGTTCAACTTAACAAAATGTGTGTGATACGCGGCAAAAAGGACCGGAGGTTAATTCGAGAACAAATACACAGAGGTTAATTTGACATACATGACTTATAAGTTTCACAGAAGTCATATCACTTTTTTTGGAAAATATTTAATTGCGTTGAATGTATAAAGTGCTCCGTCCTATTAGTTGAATTAACCTCGAGCTCCATGTTTTGGAAACATGTCGTAAAGTAACGGGATAGACCTTCATTCAAGTCAATCAACATGTGTCCTCTCTGTATGTGTTAAAGTGATGCATATAATTGTATTTTTTAGTACTACTGTATGTATAACCGTATTTGGTCGCTCGCCGGTCGCACACGACCTCATTTCGCCGAGCGTGTGTGCCAGGAGGGCATATCCCCGATGGTTTCTGGGTCATGTGGGAAGGATCCCCCCCTATCGCAGTCACTCACTAGGTGACGGTTCCGAACGCCGTTGCGGAAAGGGGTTGAAAACTGTTTGTATAGCACCTCGTTGTACCAGTGCGCATCTTCTTTCTACCATCCCCTCATCTCGGGTGCAAGGGCAATAGCTTGATAAAACAACACCTACTCAAGGATAGTCACATAGTGTGCTTTAATTAGAAACACAACAATCAAGTACAACTATTATGCAATCTCATTGAATGTGATAACATAAGTTCAACAATAATGAATAACAAGATACACGCTCCATTCAAAATAAGTTTCTCAAGTTTTGAGACATTTATTTTGGAGACATTTATTTTGGGATGGAGGGAATATCATTTATCAACCACTCCCACGACCATTGTGCACACTTTGACCTTTCTGGGTCTCTAACAATAGATAACCCCATGTAAACCGCATGCATGTAATCCTTATAAATATTTTGCTTCTAACAAATTTGCAGTAGGCTTTAACCTACTGTTTTTGCTAAAAAAATAGTTTAAGTGAATAAAGCACTTGCTGAAGATAGCATTGTTAGTTGGTTCATGCTAAGATCATGCCAAATTTCACAAGTGCCACTCATCTAGGATATTCTCCATGGAACAAAAAGAAATTATATTCTACACATATAGCAAACCTATATCATTTATTAGTACAAATTAAGTCTTGACATTCCACTTGGGCTTATATTTTGTTCAATCCATATACATGGAAGATAATATTGCATTTAGACACTACAAAAAAAGACACATCCTGACATTTTGGGACGAACGGAAAAAAATTTGGTCATACTTATGACACTTCTATGACGATAATTGTGACAAAACCCAGTATCATCATAGATGTGGTGGGCTCCTACTTCTATGACAAAAAATCATGATAGAGAATGGGCTTTTCGTCCTGGGCGGGCCGGGGACGCAGCTGCATGACATTCTTTATGCCGTGCATGACGGAAAAAACTGTGGTAGAAGCGAGGGCGAGGAAAATATCAGGGAGTTCCCGGGTATGGTGGGTGGTCGGGGGGCGAGCGATGCACGTTTCTCTCGTACACGTACGCGCATGGGTGCGAGAGGCGTTGGGCTCTAACTGAACTCGAGCGATTGCACTAGCTACATTACTAAACCCGAGCGATCGATCCCTTGCTGTTAACTGAACCCGAGTGATTCCTTCGCTACTGTTGCTAACTCAAGCCGATCGAACCCTGTTGCCTCCTTCCCTTGATGAACAGTGAGCGTTATTGGGTGGTTTGGATGAATAGTTCCCAGTGGGGGTGGA